CTTTTTCCCACTGCATAATCCAGTTAGTCTAGTGGGATATAGCATGTGCAAGTAGGGTGCCACTTGAAAAGAGAGCCACAGACATGACGATTCCTATTGTTTATGTCTTTAGTCTAACCTTGGGTATTTTTGCATTAAAAATCATAGTGGTATAATGGCTGTTAGCTCCAAATCCCCACTGAAATGTTATAAAAGGATCCAACTAGGGACCTGAGTATTTAATCGTTCCTTTTGCTTTTCAGAAACCATTAATCTATTGAAGAGAAATTCTACACAGCCAGGATTTCAGGTCTATGTTAACCGGAAGACCTTGTGCCATCTTTTGTACCTGGGCTGGGGCAGGCTTTGTATTATCTGCACTGCAACAGCACCTGATGCTCATCAGTACTATGACAGCTATGCCAGCTGGTGGGCTGAGAGCAGGAGCGGGCAAGGAAGATTGTATACAAAAGCTCAAGGAAAAAAACTGCTACATCCTTTTATGGCAATGAACAATTTTTTTGTCAACCTGTCCCTCTTCCCCCTGTGATAACCTGAGAAATCTCTGCTAAATTACCTCTATGACCTATACAATGAACTACAACAAGTCTCTAGAGATTCCCCTCCCTCATCTGTAAGTGTTATGGGTACTGCTTCCCTTTAGTTAACATTGCCTGCGAAGCATCTTGTTCCCAGAGACCCATTGCCTCTGAATTCAAAGTACATTTGGATTCACAATGGAAACATTGAGTTCTTATTGAAGGTTTCCTTTAGCTGTATCCAGAAGCTTCTGATTCCTCAACCACACAAGGAGATTCCATCTGAATAAGAAGACTCCTTTTTCCTTGCTCATCCCTGTGTTTAGGAGTTCCTGAAGTGCAGCAGGTAGAACCACATTTCTATTTTCATTTGTGTGTAATCCCTGCAGTGATAAAGGATTTATCACATTTAAACTCTCAGCAGTAACAATTTCATTAACTTTGAGATTTCTGTCACTGAGAAAGAATGGATTGATGTGCTAGAAGCCAAAAACATCAACCACGTGTTCAGTGCATATCCCATTATGTTTTATTTTGTGTCAGTACTCTTTGTAAACATTAATAGGCAGTAATCAATGGGAGTATCCAGTGGCAACCACTTTATATAGTGGATTCCAGTTGGAAGTTTTGAATAACCTAAGAAATTCATTGTTTCTGGGTACTGTCAGGGATCTGAAGGCTCCAAAACGTTTTGTAAGTTACCTGACAGTAAACATTATACAAGAAGCATTTTTAAATAGAGTATAAAGATGACCCAAACTTCACGGCACGGGGCAAACACTATCAGGGGTTGGCAAAAAAATAGGGGTACATTTGTGCCCAAGTATTTTACACATTTTACAGTGGCTTCAGAACTATCTGTCTTGTTGTGTATGGGGTACAGACCTGAGGATCTCTAACCTGACCTATTTCTATTTTCTAGTTTATAGCCAGCTAAATCAGTGTTATTTGTTGATCTTCTGATTGTCTAGCGATAAAACATTTCCTCCTTAAAATCAGCCCATTTTAGTAGCACATCTTAATTTTGTGGAAAAGGACAAACATCTTTGTCATGTTTCCACGAAAAGACAGCTCGCCCATCCCTTACAAAGAAAGACTTGTTCTCCTGCTTCCAGAGAAAGAGATCACAGCTCTATGGCACAGCAATATCTGCAGCCCTCTGCAGGCATGACTCTCACATGTAGTTTTCTGAACAGTAATTTTTAAGGAGCCTGAGGGGGAAAAAGGGAAAAATAGAAGTGATGCTAAAGGCCTTAACTTTCCAGAAAGATAGAGCTTGATTTATTTTCTTATGCCAACAGAAGACAAACATAGTTATCTTGACTCCTATATTTATTAGACTTTGACTACCATTCCTTACAGCTCAAAGAGTGCAGATCTTAAGAACCCACAATGGTAGGAAAGAAAAACAGCATTCCTATACAGAAAAATGCTGTAACACTTAATATTCAAGTGTCCCAATTTTTCTACTGTAACTTGCTACTGGTAAACACAAGGGGGGGGAAAACAAACAACCAACCAAATTCCTTCACCCAATTTCCTTTAAGAACTGTGAGCAGCCCCACCTGGTTTTTGCTTTTAACCAATTCTCGTCAACAGATCTGTTGAAATGGTATGTAAGCATTTACTTGGGATGTGTTGCTTGGTATATTCTGGAGGTTATTTTCTGTACTATTCAGCTGTCAAGAATTGGGAATTTGGATCATATTTTAGTATATGGTAAATTGCTACATCTGTGTGTGAAAAAGGTCTAGTTTCTCATGACTGCTCTTCATATTACAGCATCACAATGAGGTAACAAAATGGTAAAGTGTGATGGCTTGAGCCACTTGAGCTAAAGACTCAACCAGTCTAAACGAGGTCTGTGTAAGTATCACAGAGCCTGGACTTTTTTTATTTAGAAAGATAAGCTCCATCTGTCAGTAAATTGTGTTGTGATGGTTCTCCTGTGTAGAGATAGGGGTTCGAGTCGGGGAACTTACATTTCCCAACACAGCATAATGGGTTGGCTCTTCACTACTTTATTTTACTTTTTTTTATTTATCTCATAATTTTATTTCTAATAATTCTTCATTGCTAGGATCATCTCTTTCCCTAACCTTACGCTAGCAAATAAATCTTTTAAGAGCAATTCTTTTTTCTTGCATGGAAGTCCCTCCCCTTGCTTTAGCCTTCTGTCTAAGCTATACTTGTTCTCGTTGCTCTAACTCACCCCTGCTCTCCACCTCTTCCACAGCATCACAGCTATGTTGGCAGTGGGCCATCTAGCACTCCAGATGGCTGGCACTTGCTGCTTCTGCCACAGGCTGAGGTAATGAGCTAGTTATTTCAGAAAAAAATCCAATGCTATTTACTTCAGGGAATGGTGACACCAGAATAAGTTATTACATGCCTCATTTCTGAAGGCTGTGTTCCCTGCTAGTTAAGATCTCTTTCAGTAAGGTTCCTCTAAATCTGCTCCATAACTCCCTGACTGCGGTATGGAACAGGCTGTTTTCTAATGATGGTATAGTAGCACCTCTCCTCTACTTAAGGACTGCTTACCCTTAGTGTAATCCACATCATAGGTATTTTTTCCAGCTAGTGTGAAGAACATAAGGGAACAAGAGCTCTCTTGCTAGACTGTAATGCAGCCTATCCCAGTATGCAAGTAAATTAATGGTACTTGCTGAGGATGGTGTAGCATTTACTCATACTGTATTCTATGTTTCAGTGCTCCAAAAAATCCTGCTTCCTTAGATTCAAGGCATTAGGTTTTGTATACTGCAGACTTTCCTCATGAATCCTATTGTGCAGTCTCTGCATGCTTTATAATCAGCAGAGACTTCATGATAATTCAATTCATGAGCCAAACCAGTGAATATTTTGCTTCTGCTGTGAAGCTGGTTTAGGCCAAGTAAAATGTATATATATTTTTTTTCCTAGAAGCTAGTTGTGATCCATGGGAAAATGAGTAACAGCATGTGGAATAGTCACTGCATGGTAGAAGTTGTGTATGTGGTGGGGGCAGCAATAATTAATAGTTGTCTCTTCTGGGATGTTGATACTCTGCTGGACTGTGGCTAAGCTGGAGAGCTTTGGTAGAGAGTAGTGAAGTTGAAACTGATGGGCAATTGGTTCCTGTTAACAAATATTCTTTGTCCTGGGTTTTGTTGAGTTCCTTTCCCTATAGCATGAACACACCAGCAACAGTGAGTTATCATCCATCCCTGTCACAGCATGAGCTCACCCCAGTGGCCTACCACAACCTACTGCTCCGTACCAAGCGACACCTCTGACATCCACAGCCTGCTAAATCCTGCAGTGGACTGAAGGGGTAGTTACAGCAACTGATATGAATATTAAAAAGCTGTCTTCTGAAATCTAATTGCATCTCCTTGAAATTGATAGCTATTTGGCCAGTGTAAATTAAATAACTTACTGCTAATCTCTATTTTGGAAGAGAAGATAGAAAGCAGCCCTCCAATGAAATAACTCCATATTCTAATTTAAAACAATAGTTCAGTGAATGTCTTCTCCCCGGATAATTAGCAGGATGTTGCTGTAATCTCTTCCCTCACTATAACTCAAATCCCCCCCTTAATGACTCTACAGTGGTAACTTTTTCAGTAGTCTTTCCCTGCTGTGTTCTGCTTGGTACTGATCATTCTGTATGTGAGAAAACTGATGTTTCTTGATTCCTCAGCTCTTCTCAAGGAAACTCAAATTCCTGAAGCATGGGTTTGTTGAAGAGCTAAGAAGACTGAGCAGTTTTCAGCTTCGGATCTAAACTCTCCCTTTGTATATGCAGAAGCACAGGCTGTAGGAAAGATTAGGCTCCGCTCTGAAGAGAACAGATTCTCTGCGTGCATTCATGTTGTGTAGGTCAGGCTGGTAAGGCCTGGTCAGCAAGCAGCATCCTTCTTATGGCTTTTAGTACAGAGCTCAGCTGAGGATGAAAAGTGTGCATATTGTGGGTTGTGGCTTGTCTGAATGTGAGTTCTGGCTCTATTCCTCTGGATTCTGTTGGGTGCCTGGAAACCCTCGTTCTGTGTTTTGATGGTGTGAAACAAAGCACTGCTCCTGCTGAGGAAGCTCTTACTTGAACTCTGAGGACTGCCAAACCTGCTGCCCTCCAGCTTTTAAAAATCTAGGGAGACTCCAAATGTTTACAGCCTTCCAAATGTTAACTGCACATAAAACTTAAACACTCTAATTCCATGAATTGTTGGTGGGAGGGAAATATTTGAATGGTAATTTACAGTGCAAATTAGAAGTTATCATACAGCTGGACGGAAGGAAATCTCAAGCACGGGGACTGTATGGGAACTGCTGAGTCATGGCCTGAACCTCTGATTGATCACCTGAGGTGAGCCATGAGCCAGCCAGAGGAGCACAGGTGAAGGCAATTCACTGTGCTGCCAGAAGGGGTGGAGCCAGGCTGCACCCCTTCTAGACCTATTGAAGAGCTGGCTACCAGTGGGGAAGGATCTCTTCTGGAGATTGCCTCTGCTGGTGTTTTGTGGGTGAGCCCAGGATAAGGGTAAGCCTTCTATTTATTCTCTTTTGTTGTCATAGTCTGCTTTGCCTAACTCTCTTGTTTATTTCATGATCATACCATCCTAGTATTCTTTGATTATACAGGGACATTTCAAAATGTGATCTAGGCATGAGGGTTTATATTCTGTCTGAATTGGCAGTGTATAATTTAAACCTATACTTCAGACAGTGTTGCTTAAAAGAAACTGGTCCTTTGCAGGGGTTTTGGAAGTATAAAAGAAAACTGAGACTCTTAAATCTCAGCAATGTATGACCATGTGCAGGTTGCGTGAGCTTCCCATGTTTTAGCATTGAGAAGCCAGTAAGAATTTTACAGAACGAGTTAAACTATGAAAATGGGTTAAGGAATGCCACAGGGATGTTACTAATACAGCGTGGCTGCAGTAGGGTTTAAAACAGCTGGATGTCTCCTTTACCCTTCCTTCGAAGTTTTAATTGCAAGGACGAAGCTTCTCTGACCCTCTGGCTGCCACCCACACTACAGGTCTGCACGGCTCAACAGCCACTACAAACTCCTGAGCGGGTTGCCATCTGCTGGCATTGCCTTTAACTGCTTCCTCTTGGGGCAGCGAAGGGAAGGGCGTTTACAAAATACGGGGAAGCAAGTCTGACTTGTGAATGCCTGATAATGTTTTCTTTAAGTGTTTTCTAAATCCTTTAACCAATTGTCTGTGTTGGTTTAGCAGGCCTTGCATTAAGGGGAAGAAAGCTGTTGTATGAGGAGCCTGTTCCTGGTGTCTGTTGTAATTTGAAATGATTTCTTATCACCCAATGGGCTACATGAAACAAAACAGTAATTAGCTTCTGCAAAGCCTTCCTTTGGTCTGACGTGAATCAAACAAGTCACATCGCAGATTGTTTCAATGCAGTGCGAAGCTGTGACTCCATCTCTGGGATTTGTTTCCCCCTGTATACAGCTCAAATCCCAAGCTTGAGCAAGGGTCATTCTGCTTTTCAAGATCCTGTAAAGTGCAAAATCAAACAAAAACAAGAGCAAATCTGTTCTTTTTTCAGTTTAGGGATGCTAAATCATTGAATCCTACTGTGCAAATGGAGAAAGATTTGTGTAAATCTGGCTGTGTCATTGTCAAGAAGCTGCAGTCCAGCCCTGACTACCCATTCAAGATGTCTGAGATGTTGTTAGCTTCTTGTAAGTGTCAATGTGTGCTGAAACTTGTAGGAAGAAAAACCAGGTTATGGGAATTGATTTCCTAAGAGGAAGTTTAAACAAATCTATCAGCTATCCGTTCCTTTGAATTAAATCACTATCATTAAATACTAACTATATTGTTCAGCTTTACCTGAAATTCTGATCAGAAGTGATCCCTTGTAGTAGGAAGTAGCATCATGCTGTACAGACACTGCCTGTTGTGATGATGAATAATCGTTACATGGCTCTCAGTAGCTGGGTAGCAATCAGGCTATGCTACTGCCCACCAGCCCACCAAGTTGCAGGGAAGTGAGCGTGTTCCAGAGCTGGCAGTGTCCTTGCAAGTCATCAAGGCAAAAAGCCTGTCTGCTTGCTCCTTTCCACAAAGCAGGAAAGAAGGTGGGAAGTGCAAAGTGTAGGAGAGATCATCTGTTTCTTTTGCCATAGCAATTCATCAGATGGACTAACTGTTGTGCCTGCAAATCCTTCTTAGCATCTCACGGCACACACTACAGCACTGCTAGTGAAGCACGGTGCTGCTTACGGGCGCATGATGTCCTCCCTTTCTAGGGAGCAAATAATATGCTTGAGAGTTGCACTTCCTCCAAACTGATGAGTCCTCGAACGAGGATCGCTTCGCACTCCGATGCTCAATTTCACCACATGGTGGCATCGTTGCTGTCTTACTGATGCCTACAGCCCGAGGATCAGCCCAAAGATCTACGAGGTTTGCACCGAGGTTTTCACGGACGTCCCGACGATGATTGCTGCGGGTGCTTGAGGAGTACGACGCGGTTCCGTGGTGCTTTGTGAGGCACGGTGGAGGTACCCTTTGTGCACTGAACTTATGCATTCAGACTCACGTCTGGCTTACTGTTTCCTGTCACATCTGCCAACCTCACAGGGAACCACTCTGCACTGGTGTTGCTCTCTCTGTGAATGGCCTGGGTGTGGTGTGACATTCCACTCCTTTGTGATTAACGCTGTAGAAAGTAAAACTAATCTCCTTTCAGGTTCCCCTTTCGCACCTCAATAGAAAAGGCAGGGAAGGAGACTTGAAACGGATGTCCCATGATATAAAGGTGGTATGGTGACATTCTGTTGGGATTTGATGTGTACTCAGCACTAGGAACTGAAACCTGTTGTTGCAGGAGTACCTCCACTTGGCAGTTCAGCAGATGCTAACAGAGGAGAGAACAGTGGTTATGACCAACTGGACTCTCATTAAAGCCAGTCTGGTACTAATATTCTTTTATTACAACTAGCAAGGATCGAATCTGATGTTTTGCACTATTACGGCGTTTCATCAGTTGATTTATCTGACTTGAGCCAACTTGCCTTTAGACATAAAGACCACCCTCAAGTTCACAGTGAGCAGAGAGCTGGTCCCATTTGAACACGCTAGGGCTTATTTTTCTGGAGTTGAGCTCATGGGAAATATCTGTATTTCTTTATACTTTCTGAGTAGACCCTTTTTGGCTCCAGCTCCAGTGATTAATAAGTGTTAAGAATTGTGGAGTATAAAATGGAAGCCTTTTCTATCCGGTGCCTGAAATCATATAATCTTTGCTTGTTCGGAGTGTTTACGTAGTTGGTTCTGGGTAACCTTTTATGAGATCTTGTTAGATTGAATATACTGGTAAGGACACCTTCAGATGAGAGATCAAGACTATCTTCTAATCTGGTTCTTGATCCAAACATTGGCTGTGAATCCTGATGTTCTGGTACAGTTCTTCTGTTCAGTCAAACAGTGGTTTACAAACTTTTCCAGACCAGGGGTTTCTTATAATGGGTAGTATACCCATACAGTAGTGTGTAGTAATTGTTTATCTTACACTGGGGGGAAGGTTCACAATAAAAAGGACATATATAATGTGGAAACAGCATTGGAACCAGCACTGGAGTTTCTGGTGTCAGCTTCTCACTCAGTAAAATCACCATTATTGAATCGTAAAATGACTTGAGTTGGAAGGGAGCTTAAAGACCATCTAGTTCCAAACCTCACTCTGGGCTGGTTGCCATCCACCAGCTCAGGCCCCATCCCATCTAGTCTTGAGCACCTCCAGGGATGGGGCACTCACAGCTCTCTGGGCAGCAGTGCCAAGGCCTCACTACCCTCTGTGTCAAGAATTTCCTCCTAATATCTAATCTAATCATCTGGTATTCCTGAGATGTTAAACTATTATCTGGTTTTCAGCAAGCTGTACATTCCTAAAACAAACAAATCAACAAAAAAGCCCACCCTGGACTAGCCAAAGAAAACCCCAAATTAAAACCTACTAAAGTTTCCTAAAATGATCAGCATCAAAGCACTGACCTTTGTACTCGTGTAGTCCCTGCCCATCACACAGGATGATCGTGATTTCTTTCAACTCCAAATTTCACAATTTGCCTCAGAGGTTGAGAGCTCCAGGCTGGTGTAATTTGTCCTTTTATTACCTCTAGTCTTTTCCAGTGCTATGCTGCAGAGTTTAAAAAAAAAAAACAAAACAAAAAAAAAAAAAAAACAAACTTCCTGATGTCTCCTAAAGCCACTAAAGGTATTTTTCATCTTCCATTGAAAGTTTTAGTCTTGTAGGTCAATTATCAAGAAATTAGTAGTCTTGATCATGAGTCTCCTATGTGCTACAATGCGGCCCATAGACAACCTTTGAGGAAGGAGAGATCTAGATTCCTTGTGGTTTCATTTGTCATGGCCTTGGCTGGGACTTGCAGACCATATATCATGCTTAGTTTGGTCAGCAGAAACATACTGACAACGTCTGTGAGCTTCTGCATGTTCCCCAACATAGAGGCAATGCATGTGGCAGATGTTTCCATGTCTTTCTGCAAGCTTTGCAGATTTCTGTTGCGGGGAAACTGTGTCACTGAACTGCCACCAAAATTTGCCTTGTAGAACCCACTGGATGTGGCAGGATTTATAAAAGAATACCTTGGATGAGGGTGTCTTGTTTTCTCTGTCAGGGAATTTGTTTTCAGCCGTGGAATATTTATTCATCTATGTGATTTGTTGCTTTGTAGAATGGAGGGAATAAGCCAGATGAAATGTAATGTTGAAGGTATTTTTTGGATGAGTGTTGTGCTTTTTAGTGCTTTATTGTATCTGGGTGTGTTGGGAATGTCTTTGCGTCACTGAATTAATTCTTTGGGCTGCATTGTTTCCAGATACTTAAAAAGGGTTTATTAGCACAGGGAATGGCCTTTTCACTTGTAGCATGCTTCTTTTTGATCCCTCAGAGGAAGGAACAGCTCCTTTCTCCTAAACTTCAGCAGAAGTTTATCTGCCAAGGGTGTGGGGCTGCAGCAGCACAGAAGCATTAATTCAGCACAGCTGCAGGCTGTCTCCAAAGGAGTGACAGGTCCCACCCAAAGGGTGTTGTTGCTGTGGGATGCAGGTGAGAACCTCACACTCTCTGGCTGCTGCAGGTGGCCTTGGAGCCCAGCCAAACTTGGAATCTACAGCTTCCAACCTTTCCTCCTTCCCTGGATAGAAAACTCTGTCCCTTCTGTTTCCTGGGGTTTTCAGTGATTCAGGCTACAGATGGGACTGTATGGCCTCTACAGATGGTTACGAGGCAAGGAGTGGGGCAGCTATGCTGTGAAGGTAAACCTCCTACTTTCCTGGCAGTAAGCTGAATTTGGCTCACAAGCTTTGGTATTTAAAAGACTTTCGGATGTGTGTGGTCCATATAAAAATAAGTATTCAAAGGAAACTAACACTGCGTGGTGAAAATCTGTGAAGTGCTCATTGCTTATAGTACTATGTAGGAGAAACTTAACTCTATGGGCCAATATAGGATAGTTCTTCAATGAACTATCAGCTCCTCAGGTTTAAAGGCTGTTGCTCTATAGTTTCAGGAGTGAGTTACTGGCCTTATGGATCTTAGGTTTTGACTGCCTCAACACATTTGACAGAGCCCTGAAATAGTTATTTGTGATCTCAGAGTGCTTTGGCACAAGGATCTCATCCAACAAAGCTTTGAAAGGAGTGATCAGATACGACATCTTCAAAGCAGTCCAGAAGCGTGGAGGTGAAAATAAAATTAAACATGCATCTGCATAGACTGACATGACAATGATGATCCAAGTTTTCCTACAGAAGCAGTGATCACTTGATTTTAATTTTTTCCAAAAACTTTATCTGTGGTGCAGCCAGATTCAGCTGATTAGCACCCTTACATTGTGATGTGCTATGAATAAACAAAATTTTTATAGAGTTCAGGACATATTATTAGCAAGGCAATGGAAGGCCGACATAGAAAGTACTTAAGATTGACTCCTGATAATAGAAACTGGGTTTTGTATGTACATATGGGGAAGTTAGCACAGAAACAGTCACAGAATCTCTTTTATCTGCACTCTGCTCTTCTCTGAAGTATCACAGTTGCTTGGCAATGGCAACAAACATGTCTTTTCCCAGATTTAGTTACATAGGCAGAAGTCTAAATGCTAGCTTCCTCAGAGGAAAGATGATTCACCTGATTTAAAGCAGATATTTTAATCTGAAAAGCTATATTTGTCTTTGCTTTTTAGCAAGATGAGGCTATTGATGGGAAGAAGAATTTTTCCAATTCTTGGTACCTCACGCTGCCTAAAATGGTTTAGATTTGTCTCAGGGAATGATTCTCTTCTGAAGTAAATAGGTTTTGACCAACATCAACTCCTCGGGGCCAGTGAAGAAGTATTCATCAAGAAAGGGTTGTTTATTTCCATGCCATATTGCCCAGCCAGCGTCTGTAGAATGAGATGATTCTGCTTTCACTTGCAGAGAAGCAAATGTGGTGTGATTCCATTGGGAATGTCACATCAGTCTGGCTTCAGGGCTCTTCACCTCCAATGATGCTCTGGCTGCTGAGATTCTTCTTGCCTGTGGCAGGATTAAAGGGGGACACAGTACTTCCTGTGATTTGGGCACCTTATACAAATAACGTGGTTACACCAAAGATGGACATTGTTACCACTGACTGTAGAGACCTTATCCTTCAGTCAAGAACAAATACCAGGTTTCTTGTCAATGTGCTTAACACGGAATGATTTTAAAAGCAAGTGCCCATGCTCAAAAGCTTATGATAGTGTCCTGAGTAGGCATGGTCATATACACACGCTTCGTTTTCTCATTGGTGGATGAGATTTTGGGGGTTAAAAAGAAGAGCTGTCTTCTAATACTGTTCGAGACTATTTGCCCTCCTCATAGACTCCATAGGAGTCAAACTTGGGAGATAATTTGTATGGCATGAATTTACATCACCCTTCCACCTTGCCACAAACTAGTATCCAAATGCCTCAGGCATGCAAGACTGAAGACTAAATTTTATTTCCTTTCCTCTATTTTTGCTGTCGCTGCTCTGAGCACATGTATCATAATTTATGTCTTTGCATTTTAAAAGTATGAAAACTTAAAACAGTCTCTTGTATAGTATAGGGAAGAATTGTTTATCGTGGACAGATTATGTGCATGGTGATGAATGTCCATATATCTGATTTGGGAATGGGAAGGAGAGTAGATCTTTGGCTTCCTCTGTAGTGATTCCATGAAGCACAAGGGGAGCAGATGACAGCTTTTGCAGAGGACACAAGGGAACCTTATATGAATGAAAAGATTTCGGGGAAGAAGAAAACTTTTCACAAATGTTATGTGTGAAAGTTGCTGGGAAGAGGTGCTTTGAGTGGATTCATCAGCACTGCCTGGACAATCATCTACAGGACAGACAAAGCTGGAATAAATACTATTTTTTTTTCCTGTTTAAATGCATAATGTGCCAGAATGAAGAAAATCTGATGTTTTCATTCAAAACAGACAGAGCATTGTTAGGAAAGATCTCCTTCTACAGATGAGAAGACCCTCCCATTTCCAAGCCTTATTCCTATTTAAAGTAAAGATAATACCAGCATCAGCAGGGTTAGGAGTGGGGTTTGCAGTGCTGCTCCTTCATGTAGGATGGAAATCTCTCTTATAGTGCAGATGAAAGATTTTGTTGTCTCAGGGAAAGAGGCTAGTGCAATTTTGAAACAGATGAATTCTCCTGTTAAGTCCGAATTCTCTTTTGTTTGTTTGGTATATAAGCCAAACTGAATCTGTTGGGTTAGGTTTGTGTTGATTGACTCCGTCCTGAACCCCTTGGCTACTTGAATGCAGAGCTTTGGTTTTGACGTATATCCAGTGCTAGTGGAGAAAAATTATTCAAGTGCACTGCATATGTAACCACCAAGCCAATTGTCCCTTCCTGCTTGCCAGTGTAAACCATGAATGCTGTGTGAAACCAGTACAGCAGCAGGACTGGGCCCAGTGCCACTGTTAACTTTTTTTTCTTAAATTGCTTTACTAACACACTACAGCCTTGTGCCAGTATTGTAGGACATAGTAAGCTAGTAGCCATGACCTCCCTATACTGTAATCCTATAAAATTGGTGCATCAGTCTAATTACGCTCTATTTTCAGTGGGGCTAGATGCTTTAGTGGTGAAGTTAAAGCCAAGGAGAAATTTACTTCCTTCGGAACACAAGCCCCAAACTTACCCCTTTAAACTTTTGCTTAACCATCTATTAACATACCCAGAGCTAGAATGACCACACCCTTTTTTTCCCACTCAGATACAGAGAAGATTACAATAAGATGAATGATGATTAGAGTAAAAACCATTGAGGCAAAGTTACCATGAAGGGATCGAACAAGGCACTAGGACCTAGGAGGCGTCTCATCCACCCTGGCAGGAATTTCTTGCTTGGAGCTCAGACAACAAAGGCAGAGCGAGCCTGGTTTTCTTTCTCTCAGCATCTCCACCCTGCGCGCTGAAAACCGGTGAGTAGAGCTCTTTCGAGTGACTTGCATGCAGAAAAGTAGCAGATGTCAGATGGAAGGAGGAATCTTTCTTTTAGTACCTTACAGCATCTGCAGTTCATTTTTAAACAAAACCCCCGAATCCTCTGTTTCATTCCCGAAGTTGCTTGGATGTTTCATTGTTCAGTACATGTCACCCGACTGCATGTACCCCAGCTGGCATTGTGCGGAAAACGTTCCGAACTTGGGGCTTTCTCTGCAGATTGCCTGCATTGTCATCTGCTTTACCGCAGGCTGAGGACAATGATTTTTCTCGTGCAGGTCACGGTGACATTGTAAAACACAGCGAAGCAGCAGTTCTGGCAAACGTGAGGGGTGGGGAACTGATAGCAACAGCTTTTCCTAGATTTGTACCTGGCTGCCAAATGTGGGATGTAAATCCCATTTCTGCCTCGTGTTAACATGCAAGCAACATACGTGAGTTGCATGTTTCTAGTTTACAGAGGGAATGGAAGAGCAGGACTGGGGGGATTTCTCCTCCTTTTGTGTTGGGGTTTGGTGCAGGGGAAAGGTTGTTCTTAAGCATAAACTGAAGACCATGTGAAAATTGCTGATTACTGTCTGTCAGCTCAAGTCTCTGCTTTTCTGAGCTCTTCCCTTGCGCAAGGAGCCCCCCTGTGCTCAGAACAATGAAAGGTGAGCTGGCAGGGGCGGCGTGTCCCTTGGGCAGGGGCACTTCCAGCAATTAAATCACTTAAGACCAGGAGGGGGGAGGTTGGAAGAGTTGGAAATAGCTCCTTTATTTTCTCCTCCTCATTAAATGGGAGCTGAAATGCAATTCAGAGGAGGCTCAGGCTGCTGAAAAGGGCTCATAGAAGCCTCGTTTCAATGACAGATTTTTCTTTCCAGTCATTTCTTCTTAGAGATGTAGGCTGGTCCTGGGAATTGATTGATGGGCTAGGAGGGGGCTGCGGATAGGGGGAAGGGTGGGATGGATCTCATTGTTAACCCTTATTGAACAGGCTGTCACAAAGAAACTGCTTAGTCCCCTGTGACCATTCTTTCATAAATGCCAGTTTATTCTAATGTTAAATATTCAGATGCTCTGATTCCTTCCGTGATTCGACAGATTGAAGGGCTGACTCACTGGGATCTCCTTGTTTTCTGTTGCCAAAGGAAACCTCACAGGGCTCAGAGGTTTAATTCACTGCCAACTGGTGTTCGGATGAGTTTTTGGGGGCTGAGATGCAACTCCCTTTGGCTTCAAGTCCCAATTTACTACACTCCGAAAACTCCCAGGTGTAGGAGCAGACTGTTCTCTAGTAATATGTTCCCTGCCCCCAGTAATTGGATCCCTTTCACAGCGCGGACCCCTCCTACCCTCAGTCCCCAGAATCGATACAAATCTGGGTCAGGGGAGGGGATGCTTCTCAAATAAATCTGGCCTGCTCCAGACGCAGCTCTGTCTTTTTTTTCTTGCTGGACTGTGGCTCTGCTTGGCTCTAACCTGTCCTCTTCGCACTCCTTTTCTTCCCGTCTTCCTGCTCAGCTTCAAATCTTTAGGGTTCACCAAACTATGGAACTTGATTTTGGACACTTTGACGAACGAGACAAGGCGTCCAGAAACATGCGAGGCTCACGTATGAATGGGTTGCCCAGTCCTACTCACAGTGCTCATTGTAGCTTCTACAGAACCAGGACCTTACAGGCACTGAGTAATGAGAAGAAAGCCAAGAAGGTGCGTTTCTATCGCAACGGGGACCGCTACTTCAAGGGAATTGTATATGCTGTGTCTTCCGACCGCTTCCGAAGTTTTGATGCTCTCCTGGCTGACCTGACCCGGTCCCTGTCTGACAACATCAATCTGCCTCAGGGAGTCCGTTACATTTACACCATTGATGGATCGCGGAAGATTGGAAGCATGGATGAGCTGGAGGAAGGTAATTGGCATTGCTGGCTGGTGCAGTGAGGAGGCGGGGTGAGAAGGGGGCTGCACCACTTTGGCCTTTTCCTTAGGTCACATTTCCTGCAGGCCCAGGGATGCTTCTGCCCCTCTGTGTTGAACCTGCCCTATCTCCTTCCCTGCACAGAGATGCAGAGGAGTGTGGCAGCCCTCAAGGTGCCTCTGGCATGCTCGCTCCAGTGCAGATGCAGAGCTTGAGGGGTGTGTCTTACTCTGGACTAGACATGGCTGTGTGCATGGCTCAGGGGGCTGTCTGAGGGCGTCCCTGTGTCTGTCCAAATTGGGCTAGGGTCCCACTGGGGTTGGATGCATATGAGTAGAAAATGCTATGACTGTACGTGTGTTGGGGTCATGCAGTGCGTATGTAACAGGGTTTCTGCACAATGTATGATGGGGGTAGGAGGGATTTATGCAGTGTTTAAGGGTGTGCAGTGTGGGGCTCATGAACAATGTGTATGGGAGCACTGGCTGGGATGTGCGGGGGATTATGGAATGTTGGGATGTGGGGTGAGTGTTTAAGGAGGTGTGTTAGCGGTTCAGGAAGCATTTGAGGAGTGCGGAGGGGTGTGTCAGGAGCTCGTGCATTGCGTTTGGGGGCAGTTAATGATCAACGTGTGTGCATGGAAAGGATGTTGAGAGGGGTTGCACTTGGTTAAATTTGAGGTTTTATATGTAGAGATATGTGGAAGAAGTTGTAAGGAGGGTTCCTAGAGGGGGTTCATGCTCAGGGGTGTGTTGGAAGGGTTATGCTCAGTGAATGTTGTAGAGGGATGTTGGGCTTTGTGTGTAAGAGGTGGTGGAGGATTCTTGCACAGTGATGTGTAAGGAAGGAGTGTTGGGGGGGTTCATATGCTGTGTATGAGTAGGGTTCATGCGGGGTACGTACAGAAGGTAGGTATGTTGAAATGGAGTGTGCGTGTGCAAGGAAGTGTATCTGGGGAGTGTTTCTACAGAGACTGTGTGTGGTGGGGGCTGATGTGGGCCAGGCTGCTACGATAAGTTTGTGGAAAAGTGTGGGAAGACATCTCATGTGTGGAAAAAAGGTCTGAGTGTGCAGGAGATGCTTGGTGCAGGTCAGAGTGCCTCTCTGTTTCTAGAGAGGCTGGCAGTGTGCCTGTTCCTTTGAGCATCACCTGGGCTGTGGGATGAAGGAATTACCATGAAGTTCAGCCTCTGCAGTGGTGGGCTGCTGCTGTGGGTGCTGCTAGGAGGATGCCCAAGGCAAAAATCACTGCAAAGCCAGTCCTGCATCCTTGCCTGAGGCATGGCCACAGGTGAGCTCTGCTGGTGGCACAGCTTGAGCAGGGTGCATGGAGAACGTCCTCTCTCTTGCTCTGCTTTTCTCTTTCCAGACCAATTCAGACACTTCATCCTTTGTTTGGGCCTGGAATACCCTGATTATCTTATTGCAAAAGGAGAGGTGCTTTCCTCTCTTCTTTGTTTTCTTCCAAGTAGATGGTTTGAGGGATGTGGTGGCTTCAGAAAAGCCACAAGGCTTCTGCTTTAATAGGACAGTAATGTAAGCCCCTGAACTGCTGGGGCAACCTCAGCAGGGAATCATCAAGTGACCCTGAGTTTAGCCTCTTTTCCTTATCTGTCAAGTGGGATGCTCCTTTCCCCAAAATAGTTTGTGGAGAAAAGAACACAATGGAACAATAACATTTTTCACAGAAGAGTTTCACTGGGAACAAGTCAATGCTTTTCACAGAGATGATGCAATCCTAGTAGAGTTATTCTCAGCTGAGTTATCATACAGCTGTCAAATGGGTGTGTGGCCTCCCTAATTTTAGAGATTCTGCCATCTTTTTCTCATCACTTTTAATATGGCCACAGCCTATCTCTAATGACGGCTCTCAGTCCTTTTTTCTTTTGTTTTGGTCAGAAGTTAACAAGACTTTCATAATTACACTTGTTTTACAATGAAATTTGTGCTGCAGATAAGAAAGTACCTAGTTCTTCAAAATACATTGTTTTATTGATTGAGGTGTAAGCAGGGGACACTGACATTTGGGTTCTGGCTTTGTTCTACCAGAACAGTGTCTGGAAACAGCACTGAAGATGTGACACTGAAACAAAAATGGGATTGACTGTGTTGCAGTATCCCCAGCAGAGCATTAGCTAGTAGGAAAATAGAATCTGATCAAAATGAAAAAAAAGATAATCTAACATCTTAAAATGCTAAAGGAGATCTATCTGCTGTTATTAACAGTTTAATGATAATATTCCCATAGTGCTAATTTAGAAAGGCAATCTTGGAGAGGCACAAATACCATGGTTGCAGACAATCCTTTGTTAAACTATGCTACTGGTCTGTGTGTTTGTGTAACTGTGTTCTAGGTACACATGAAGAAAAACAGAACTTGAGCATATTTGCACTGTGGCATGCAAAACAGTACAGACACTTGACAGTATGTTTGCCATATAATTAGCTTTCTGGTTAGAGACTGACAGCAACTAAAGCAGTTTTAGTTGCTAAAAGGTGACTAATTCATTATTGTAATTTCCAGTAAATAAGTAGAACGTAGGAAATGAAGTTATTGGAGGGGCTAATTTCAGTCTGATTTTCAGTAGCTTGTAAATTACCACTAGTCTTTCGCACCGCATTCTGGGTACTTGATTATTCTGCATGATTAAAAATGTATTTATATGGTATAGTCTGAATGTACTTCTGTAGGGTAGAGAATGATACTGCACAATACCAATAACCTCAAGACAGCAGGTATTTCACATGAACAGAAATGCTTGGTGAGCTACTAACTAATGGTTCTTGAAGTAACCCTTTGGATCTCTAGGGTCAGACTTGGTAGACGTCCTTCACTGGAATTAGGGGCCATTCTCCTAAGGTTCTTGATGAATGCATGTTTTCCTTTCCAGTCTGCCTAAGATGGAATAAGTGAAGTCTCTTCTACTCTTCTGGTCACATCTCATATCTATCAGCTGGGATGTGCCTCTTGATCTGTACTGAACTTGGCACTGTCCACTTATTCTGTACTGCCTCCTGTGCTGGACTTGTCTATGTTCATGTCTGCCAATGACTTTTAAAGTCGTCTTCTCTGATCATTTTTTCTCTCTTGCTATCACTAATACAGATCATCTTCATTCACTGCATTCATCGTCTTAATCTTGACTCCTTGTTTTCATCATCAATTTTAATGCATCTGTAAATATGCAAAGTGCATGCTGCCATTGTTTAGAACTGTGGTCTTTCTTTATCTAGATGTTGATTTAATACAGTAGAGCATCCCATTCACTGTTCACCTCATCCTGACTATACGTAAATTGCTGACAGTGTCCTCTAGTTGCATGTTCTTTTGACTGAGTCAGGAGTGAATATTGCACCCCAGTGTTGCTATCTATCGTGGTTGTTCTAATCAATAAATGAGTTTTGGGAAAGAGCACCACGTGAATTTTATTCCTTTCATTTTATGATGAGTTCTAGTGACCAAGGCTTAGTAAACTCCCTGCCCAGAGAAATGGTAGTCTGAATATGTCAAGGTGCAGGAAGATATTGCCATTGAGGAACTGAGATAGCGGTAGACAGCCTGGTTTGTTTGTCCTAATTTTTTAGGACAGAAGAAAATGAACAAGAAAGATCAAACCTTGACTTTCAAGTTCATTCCATTCCTCAGTCTTTTTCAGGGCCTGGTCAGGGGTCTGGAGGTACATACTTCTATCAAGCGTTTGGTTTTAAAGTGGACTTTGGTCCTATTTCTGGAGTTCAATTTTTTGTGAATAAAGAGTTCTTTGTAGCACATGGTGGGGGTCAGAAATAAATATGAAATAAGCCTATATTGACTACAAATACAGTATAGATGAGGCATGCTAGGTAAGGCCAAAAATGCAAACTATGGATTAAAATCAATATTTGAGAGACAGTATGTCTCTCAAGCTGCAGAGCTTCTCCTCTGTGAGCTCCTGGTGTGCCAAAGCTATTAGGCAGGGTCAGAAGGCCCATCATATAATGGATTTATACTCTTGTCCTGTACTGGGCTGTTCTGGTCTGAAATCAGCCCCTACCTTAGTTTAAACATTAGAAAAATCTGAATGGAATTATGTTTTGTTCAGTGGGGTTTCATTGCAAATGTTCTTGGGTTATGTATGATATTTGAGGAAGTGTTTCCAAGCTTTTGTCATACCCTGGAGAGTCTTTTCTGGAGTCTTGTTCAGGAATGTTTAAAGTAGTCACAGGAGAGGCTCCACCTTAGAGCTGTACAGAGCCTGGTGCGTGTTGGGAATGAGGGCTTGGTAGGAAGTGCATCAAAGTCTCCACCCAATGCATGCATGTTCCAGTTTGTCTGGAAAGCTGAAGCTCCTGTAGTCCAATATTGAAACCTTGGTAACTTGGCATTGTTTGCTGTGACTGTTATCCCTAGAGCTTGGTTAATTATATCCTGTATAGCAATACATATTGTTGTTCTGTTTTATTTCCTTGATTATCTGAGCTGCCGCACTAGGATTAGTATGGTCCCTTGGTATGGAGTCAAGATTAGTAGGTAACCTGGCATGGTGAATCTTTATCATATAGTTGTGAAGGCAACTGGATAATCATGCATTTCATTTTCTCTTTCTTTTTTTAATTTTTTTTTTAGTTTTCCAATAGAGCATGAAGTGCTTCTCTCATGAGGAAGCTCCACGTGGAAGAGCCAAAGGAAGCTCTTCCACTGTTCCTTTTGCTGTGGTGAAGTAGGTCTTGAGGCAGAAGACAATCATTTTCAGTGCATAAAGTAGCAGGAAATTCACGCATTTGAATTCAAGGGCCTACTTTAACACAATATATAATGAACTCTGTGAGGAGTTAAGTCCACTTAATTCCTACTGAAGTCATAGTAAATCCCATGAAACATGAAAGCTGGGCACAGTAGCAAAGTCTCAACTTCGAGGCAGTAGAGCTAATAACCAAAATAATTGACTGCAGTCTACAGAGACAGTTTTTGGAATAACTACTAGCAGTTAGACTTTCAAAATGGCCTCAATCCAGCTTTTCCAATTTTTCTCAACTTCTGCACGGAATTCATTATACTTAAAAACTTGCTGGTGCACGCAGAACTTGCTGGTGCATGTTGATAAAGGATAACTTTTTTTTCCTGAAAGTACAACCTGTCATTTTTAGTATTGTCAAAAGAAGCCCTTCTAAGAGGGTTGAAGGCTTAGCACTCGTCTTGAGCTTAGAATCTCTGAGAAACCTTCTCTAAGGCAAACCTTATCTTTGCTGAGATCATCCCTTCTTTAGGAGCTGAATAATCTAATCGCCTTGTGCTTCTATCAAATTAGTAGCACAGTGATGTGTAATGCAGGTATAGCCAATACGGTTGTACAAGCTGATACAAGCTGTGGCTTCAGGTGGCAAACAATGCTGGCTTATGGTCAAAGCTCTACAGTCAGTCCATCTATTGCTAACAGTAGGATGAAAAGAATAAATAAAAGCTCTAGCTGGTCTGACAGCACAGTGGGAAACAGTGATACCTCCAGAGCACGCTGTCATGACGCCAAGTGCACAACATCCTGCAGGGCTTTGGCTTTGCAGTCCAGAAAGGGCATCTTGCACTGACCTAGCACTGCACTGGAAAAATGCTGTTCTTAGCACTGCTGCTCTCATGCCTGTAGTGCCATATTGAGCAGCAGTTTGGATGTTGCCTGGGATGATACTTCTCATCTTTACCAAAGCCTCCACCCCCATGTGAAATTCTCTTTGGTGCTGCCATTTGGGGTTTTGTTCGGAAGCAGCAAAATGGCTGTTCATTGTACTCATGGTTCCAGCTGTGTTTCTGCACATGCACACAGCTGCTTATTGTCTGAATATATGTTCCTGAAAATATTTGTGTGCAGGTTTTATGTTCAGGGCTGGGGAGTAATGTACCTCTTGGAGTTATTCCTTTGACTGAATCTCATATCTGCTTCCTCCCTTTCTCTGTTATGCTGTGCACTTCTGCAACCATGTTGTGCTTATCAGTTATACTTCTGGCACAAATGCACACCTTGAATTCTCATTAAAGATTCATCTACATATTGATGTAGCAGAGAAACCACTCCTCTCTGCTAGAAATATTCCCCCGTAAGATTTCTCTCCTTGGTGAACCTATGGCCACAGTGCACATACTCAAAACTGGAAAGTTCAAATGACTTCAGACCATTCTTGCTTGATTACACTACTACTTTATGGTAAGATGTGGGTAAAACTCAGCTGCATAAAGTGAAATAGCAAATGTTCCTGGTTGGCAAATGGTAAAGAGGATGTGCCTTACTGAGGAAATTTCATTGACATGGTTATGATTTGACAGCCAAAAACTGAGTTTAGAAATACATAAATTGTAGTTAATTTAAATTGAAACTAATGCTTCTGTGGTCAAGGAAGATGGAAATGCCTTTTCCTGGGAGCTATACAGCCATAACTGTGGAAGTGATACTAGGAAGAGCCACTGTTCTGAAGGGTGGAGCAGTGTCACTGTAAGCAAATTTCTGGTCAGTTTTAGAATTCAATAAAATATCTGCTAGGGATCAGGTTAAATAAAACCAAGTGAGAATGGACAGATGATATTTTCCACTTGTGACTGTGAGCATAATCTGAAAGTTTTATCCACAAGTACCTAGCATTGCATTTGTGGAAGCAAAGCATAGGCATGTTGCAATATGCCATTATTGCCTTTGGAGCCAGCTGTTCTAAGTACGCTAAGCAACTACACAGTGCAGTGAAGAATTTCAAAGGATTCACGTGGAATTAAGAATAGTAGCACTCTCCTAAACAGACCATTAATATCTTAAACTCACTTTAAAATGTGGACCTTAGTGTATTTTCCATAAATAAGACTTCATGTTTTAAAAATCACAGCATATGCCTATACTTTATTTAGTTGTGGTCTCCCAAAATACTGTGTAAAAACAAGTTATATTCAAGCCCAGCACCCCTTTGGTAGCTGATTGCTACTATTTTTCCGGTGTGGAAGCAAAGGCACAGGTCTGAACCTTTCACAGAAAAGCAGTGGTGAGAATAGGATTCAAGTCACTTCATATTGCACTTAGGTACAGAAATCCCTTTTCCCAAAGCATAATGTTACTGTTCTGTTCAGCATGCTCCCAAAGGCTCTGCTGCTTGGGAATTATCCGCTTGAGGAAGCTCAGGTTCTTAGGAGGGCTAATTCCCAGTTTGAGCATCTCAGACTCATTGCTGTGCTTCGTACTCAGTTATGAAAGTGCTGAGAAGCATGGGCCTCCTCTGCACCAGATGTTGCTTGGCTGAAGCAGATAAACAACGGCTTATTGCTTATTAATCGGAAAGATTTAACAAATACAGCATTTCTGGAAAACAATCAATAACTCCAGCGAGGATCCTTCATAACGTATGGAACTTTGTGAGATGTTTTTGCTTCTATTGGGTCCAATTCAAGAAGTGTGAGGCACTAAAGGAGCTTCACTTATGAGTGCTATATGAGCAGTTTATCAAGGAGTTCTGCTGATAGCTGGAGTATGCATGCTATAGATTGATTGTTCACACCAATAGAGCCTCCTGCTGGGGGTTCTGCTAGTCTGGAGTGCGCTAGTTAATAAATAGTATCCATCTTGAGACTTGTTAGATTTCTGCCTTCTGTGTTTCTGTCATTACTTCAGAAGGGACAACAATACCTGCTGCTTGGTGGTAAATGACTTTGGTGCTCTGCAGTTCAGGAGACAAAAGCTGCTGTTGGGGATGCAACTGCTGAGAACACACACTGCTTTCTGGCAAGTGAAATACAAAGTCAGGGCAAAAAGAAATCCAAACAATTGAACAGCCAAACATTCTGCAGCTTTTCAGTGGATTTTTGTGAATTCAAACGCCAACGGTGGCAAGGATATAAACAGTGTGCACTCCTTTGTTTTAAGCCTTTAGTAAGGCCTCTATGTGTGTGGTGTTGGTCTCTCCATGTGTTCCGTGAGGATCATCTCACTGCATTCACTAAAAAATGCCATTTAGTCATCAGAAGGATAACAGTGGGAGCACTGTGTACAAGGTGTATGTTTCATGCTTGGATCATACATTTTTCTGTGGAAATCGGTGGGCTCTTTGGAAATCCATATTTACACCTTTGCCAAGTAGATGTAAAATCCTATCTGGAAAGATTCCATATTGAAAAGCCAGATTCAGATGCAGGGCAGGCTCTTCAAAGACATCCAGGCCATGGAGTTTGTAGGAGGTAACAGATAAGGAAATGCAACTGCTTCTGTATCTGAAGAAGGATTTTTTTTCTTGTTCAAAATGGCCTTGATATTAAAATAGAGATTTAACTATCACAACACCTAAAGAACTGTAGGATCAGTCCAACAAAGCACAAAAAGAAACTTTGTAAGATCCTGCAGGTACCCATTTTATATCTTCAATTCCTATTAAAATTTTATCTAATGGTGAGACAAAGGGCAAAGGCTTTTTCCTTTAACACTGTTTTACTGTTTGTCTTTTTTTTGTTGTTGTTTTTGTTTCTGTGCATCCTCAAATGCTCAGCAGCCTGAGTCATTTCAGACTAGACAGCTCAGCTACGTTCCCTTAGGGAAACTGCTTCACAGTCTCATTCTAGTAATAAATCCTCTAGGATCCATCAGACTTGCAGGCCCCAAAGAAGCTCCTACAAATCCTTCTTTAAGGTGATTTTAAAACCTTAGGTAGATAGAATCCTATAAATTACAGATGAAGCTTGAAACTAATTTTGGATGGGATAGGGTAGGGCTTTATTTCTTTTTTCTTTTTTTTCCAATGAGTTACTACTAGGATTATGTAACATTTCACCCTTCTCTACTATGTCTATATTTGGACTTAATATATTTTTGGTTGGTACCAGCCATTTTGAGGCAAACAGTAATATTTGGTATAGTGTTCTATCTTAGCTGCTATTAGATCTGACTAATAAATCACTGACACTAAGTGTATTTGTTATGCCTGCTAGATTTATCAAAGATGCTTTTTGACAAAGATTGTTTAGTACTGGATTTTCATAATTCTTCAGTCTTTACAGAACAGGTACTTTGTGGATGGATGTTGATATCCTCTAGGAAGGGGATGATGGGCTGAAGTAGTAACTAGGTCTGTAAAGATGGAGAAGAAGCTCACAGATTTGCAAAATAATTTGGGTGATTAAATGAATTAAATGTTTATGAACTTTTAGACAGCTTAGTGGCATCTTCAGGTAACTAATACCTTTACAAATCTCAATCTTATTTAATCCCAGGTTTATGTGACTGACAGTGTGTGTTTGCTGATGTAAGTTGTCTGACTTGCTTACACTGGGGAAATGCTAAATCATGTTTTAAATAAGCATAAATCTAAAATATAAAACTCACACACTGTTTTAAGAATAAGATGTCTTTGAAGTTCTAATGAAAACTGTGATGAATGTTTTATGTAGTTAATGGGGGGAAAATGTGTGCTTTCTGTTTCTTATCAGTCTTAGGGTAAGAACTGTATTATACTGGTGTTCGTTTCTTTTGAAAGGAGAGAGTTACGTATGCTCATCTGACAACTTCTTCAAGAAGGTGGAATACACGAAGAACGTCAATCCCAACTGGTCTGTCAACGTGAAGACATCTGCCAACCAGAAAGCACCTCAGTCTCTGGCCAGCAGCAACAGCGCCCAGGCAAAGGAGAACAAAGATTTTGTGCGTCCCAAGCTGGTAACCATCATCCGCAGCGGGGTGAAGCCCCGGAAGGCAGTCCGTGTGCTCTTGAACAAGAAGACGGCCCATTCGTTTGAGCAAGTTCTCACTGATATCACTGAAGCTATAAAGCTGGAGACAGGAGTGGTCAAAAAGCTGTATACTCTGGATGGAAAGCAGGTAGGAGATTTTACAGATGTTGCCTTTTTCTTTTTTTCTTATCTTGATGCTTTGCTGATTCAGAACAATTTTTGAAGCCTAAAATTAACCTGAGATGATCACTGCCATCTGTTCTCTTAAAGTCAGACTTCCCATGCCAGTGGTTAAGTTACTAAATTTTCACTGATATCAATATCAAGTGAAGAGTGCAGCCAACCATCTGAGTGAAACAGATGCTCCATCCTGCACGCCAACATGCATTGTGTGTCTTTCGGGCCAGCTAAATAAATAACGTGGGGAGTTCAGCTTATGGCCACCAGTTGATTTGCCTCTGAAGTAATTACAAGAGCTCTCAGGCTTTGGATTCGCTGAGTGAAAATGTGTTGCTTGACTTGCCCTGCCTCCCACCGTGGCCTTGCTAAGATCCATGTATGCTCTCAATAATGAGGAGGAAAAGTATGGAACTGTTGCATCTTCTTGACTAAATACATGAATAGATAACGTGCAGAATGGGTCTAGGGGCAGAAATATTTAGGTGCTGGTCATAATGCGCTTCGTGTCTGCATTTTCCTAGGACTGAAATAAACATCTGTCTCTTGTTAGCAACTACACAGCAATAAGGCATTTCATATTACCATATCTATGAAAACCTTTAAAAGAATGCGGAGGATAGCTCTGGGGACTGGGAAGAACTAGATTCTTCTTCAAGGAAAATTCTGATCTTGATTTAATAGTTGTGAGTCTGCTGTAATTAAGAGATAATCTTATTTTTGTATCTGTTTTTCTTACTCCAGCTCTTTTGTTAAAGTTGGACACTGGCTCTTCTAGGATTTTATGCTGTTGCTTTAAATTAACTCTCCTATTTTTGGAGAAAATTATTCAAATACCTTGCCAACACTAAGCAGTGAATCCAACCAACCAACATGCAGCCTTTACAAATGAAAATGTTTATCCTTTCAGCACCCAACATTGGCTCATTAAGTGTCCAAGTCCAGATACAGTGTCTGTGAGTTGAATGTAGCTCTTGCTTTGTCCCAGCCCATACATGTTAGTATCTTTGCATCCTGTACAACAGTTAGTGGCTGTTTATAGTTTCAAAGATAAGAAATCTCAACTGCCCATCAAAGATTTTCTTTCCACTTGCCTCAGCCCTGCTCTTGTATCATTGTAAGTCATACAGCTTATATGACATACACGGGTGGGCAATTTTCCAGCTAAGCTGACTGTACAGTAGCATGTTGTAGTGATACAGGATGTGTGATGTACTGGGAGCACTGGAAGTGGCTGTGAGGATAGGGAGAGGAAGGACAAATGATTCTTTCGCACTGAGGAAAATCATATGTGGCCACAGGACCGTGCATCTTGAATCACAGCAGCTTTAAAAAAGGCCTAATAGATGGATCTGACCCAAAACCAGTTGTCTCCTGCTGTCTTGTTGCACTCACAGTTGTGAGGATGAGAATCTTAATCTGGATGAGTAGATTGCCTCTATTTTTTGAGAATAGCCGACAGTTTGGAGATCAGATGCAGGTTTGGATGAAGCATGGAAACTCTTGGCGCATGCCCCATTGGCATACCATCTTCTTTTCTGTTTTTAAACTATTTGCAGGAATAAACAGTGTTTTCCCCTCCACCTCTGATGGTAAGCAAGACTGAATCAGCTCATAAGCTGGACTATGTTTATGGGCTGTTGGTTGTACCTCCTTGGGAAATTCTGTTAGTTGTTAAGCAGAAATTTGGGAAACGCTGCTTGCTTTCGAGTTACAGATTGCCTAGAGTAGTGCTGCTGTGGGGCTGAGTGTAGTCTGGTGCTGGAGTGGCTGCCTTTCGTGGAGACATGGCTGAGGATGGAGCACTAAGATCTATGTAATTTAGCAATTTCGACTGCAAATGCATAGCAGCCACAACATATGCTTATATATCCAAAAGGAATTCAAGAACCTTGAAGGAAAGCAGCCTTGCTTTCCTCAAGTCAGCCTCAGAGATCCATAGAGAGTGGTGCCTACATTTTGTGCTTTGTTCATTGGGGCAACCTGAAAATTTCATCATTGTTTTTACCACAGAAATCTGATTTCAGTAAAGTCTAATTTAAGTTACCACATTTAACTTGTTTTACTAGCTTTATAATTTACCATTTTATGGAATGTGATATTACATTGTTAGGTACCACCAGCAGTTTTACTGCATGCAAATGTACATTTTGTATTGCAGTTAATGAGAGCAATAAGATTTTGTAATTTGACAGTAATGCAATGTTTGATATTTGTGGCATCAATTATTGCTGGAGGTCCCAGAGGAGCAAATCTGATTTACCAATGCTTTGTTCTTACTGGGAAGTTTCCTTGAATGCTTATATTTTAATCTAAGCTTATTTGAAATCTCCTACCTATGTGTGTTTTCACAATGCAGTTTTCCAAGCCAAAGCCAGAAGCTTCTGCTTTGAGCACTGTGTTTGCTGTTAGGGTTTCGTGACATACTGCTCCATAAAGTCTGACCTTCAATATGATATTAAAGGTTTTTGCATGTCTGATTCTGACATTAGAAAAAAGATTCTTGAATGCCTAATTCTCATGAATAGTACTTTATTTTCAGGAGAAAATATTCACACAAATGTGCAAGCTGCTCAAAGCTGAAATACTGACAAGAATCCTGACAGTCCGTCTCTTTGAGTGTCATCAGAGGCACATTACACTCTCTGCTGTGAAATGATAAAATTTACAAAAGGAACGTACAAAGGAAAATCATCTTTCCCTGCTCCATGGACTGTAATTTAATGAGAGCTGATTATTTTATTTATAGGCATTTCCATGGTGCTCATCAGTAGAGTAATCAAGATGCTTCAGAAGTACAGACAGTAGTGGCAGTGATAGACTGGTGTGTAAATAATTATATTTCTATGCACTGCAGACCTGCATTTGGAATGAGAAAGCAGTTAATTGAGAGCTGGATGGGATGAGGTACATCTGAATGAATGTAGCACTTAAAACAACAGTGGGTTAGATTTTTTTAAGGAAGTTTGTTTCTTGTTACATCTCAGATTGTTACCCTTTGGAATACTACTACCATTTTGAAATTAGAATCTCGTGTTTAAGTAGCTTACTTTACTTGCTCTTGCATACATTTTTAGTGCTTTGTGCCTAGTCTGTCTGCTGCTTCTCTCCTTGGAGTATATCACTGCCTTATTGAAAAAAAAAACCCAGAACTCAGAAGGAGCTTCAAACTATTGACCAAAGAAGAGTCATAACAGAATCACAATACAGATTTGTTTTCAACTCTCACAGCTACATAGAATGTAGTATCTGCCAAAGAACTGAGTGCATTAAACAAAAACTTAAGACAATAGATTAAATTCAGCACTTTGTTTCATGACTGCAGCTCCTATTCTGCTGAGATAAATGTAATAAATGTGTATGTATACATGGGTGTGTGCAGGACTGAATTTGGTCTGACCTGTGGGTCATGTCGTAAAGCAGTTGTATTGGCAGACTCTTTCTCTTTCTTTAAACTGTTACAGTTATATCCAGTGTCCCAAATAAGTCTGGATTCCTGGGAGCACCGACTGTTTTATAAATACATGATGACAGTTCCTGCCTCATGTAGTTAAACTGAATTAGAAAGCAGAATTTGACACAGTGGATGAAGTTGCATTCAAATATTTTGAATGCAGTAGTCTAAGTAGACCTTGCAAGTGTTGTATAGACATACTGTGCCATTTGTGCTTGAGCTTCTTTCACTGTGCTGTACAATAAATAGATGTTTAGGACAGAGGAAGCAATTTCATGACTAACAGCCCTGTGCCCACCTTCTGCCTTCTGTATCTTGCTTTGCAGGTGGTGTCTGTCAGCATTTATTCCTACTTTAAGAAATTAACTGAAAGAGTTAATGTCTTTTGTCCATACTGAACTTCTTTTATCCTAAGCTGTCTTGCATTCCAAAGTCTTAGTAATTCAGAATACATACAAAGAGGTCTATACAAAAGAAACTAGTCTGTTTGTTTGTTTTTTTTTTTTTTTAATGTGGATTACTGTTATGGGATGAGTGTGCAGCTCTAGAAGAGCCAAAAATGTATGCAGTAGGTTCAGTACTATCTTATAATTAAGACGCTTTTCAATGGTATGGAATTCTTTCTGTCTTTTCTTTAGCAGATGTATTGCCATGTCTTAATCAACTAAATGCCCCTTTCCATCAGTTAGCATCACTGAGTAAAGAAAAAATGTACTGCTCAGGTGAGAGAGAGCTCGTAGGCTCCAATTCCCCATAGATGTTCTGGTCAACAATCAGGACAACTGAATGCCATTTTTGCCATAGTAACGTACAGTGATCTGCTTTGGATTTTAAAATCTTCAAGCACAGGGAGAGGTCATGCATATACTATTTACTTGCTTTTATCTGGCCCAGACAAAGTGCTTCTATTCCATCTGAGTGTTAGCTGTCTCACCAAATGGAATTATATACTTTTATAAGTCACGGTACTTGTGAACGTACTCTCAAAATAATTTCTAGTCTTAATAAAATGATCCCTTCTGGCAGTCTTTATTGATGAGGATTTCTTGCGGCAGGTGATGAGTGGAGTTGATCTGATTGCAAAACTGATGCAAATGCACAGGAGACCAGCCCACCTTTCCTGTTCAGAGGAGAAATTCCCATTTCATTTTAGATGATTTGCATTGAGGAAGGACAGCAGCTGCAAGGAGAAAGAAGCAGGATGACTAAGCTCACACCGTGCTAAAAGTTGATTCTTTCACGTAACAGCTAACAAAGTAGTTGGTAAAGCAGCATCTGGTGCTTCACTACTAGTGAAAATGTACCCTGGGTGCATCCACATAAGTTGCACTGGAGAGACCAAACAAACTTTGGAGTTGTTGCACTGATTTTAAGCTGGGATTTGGAAACAAACCAGTAAAAATTTCACCACTCAAGTACCACTGCTAGCAATGGACCAAACTCTATTGCTAGGATAATGTAGTTCTATTATTGTATTAATGAATTTTAATTAATATGACACAGAATGAGGTTTGTAC